TATTCTTTATTACGACGTAATGAAGCCGAACCATTTTTATATAAACTGATAACTGATGATGAAAAGTGGATCACGTACTACAAGAACGTGCGAAAAAGGTCGTGGTCAAAGGCCGGTCAGGCTTCACAGACTGTGGCGAAGCCCGGGTTAACTCGCAACAAGGTGATGCTGTGTGTGTGGTGGGACTGAAAGGGTATTATTCATTATGAGCTGTTACCACCAGGCAGGACCATCGATTCTGAACTCCACTGCGAACAACTGATGAGATTAAAGCAAGAAGTTGAGAGAAAGCGGCCGGAATTAATCAACAGAAGGAGTGTGGTTTTTCATTATGATAACGCTAGACCTCACACATATCACTCAGCAAAAATTAAGAGACCTTGGCTGGGAGGTGTTAATGTATCCGCCGTATAGTCCTGACTTTGCACCTTCAGATTTCCACCTGTTTCAGTCTCTTCAGAATTCTTTAGGCAGTGTCAGGTTAACATCACGAGAGGACTGTTAAAACCAACTGTCGCGAAATTTTGATCAGAAACCCCAAAATTTCTATAGCAATGGGATCATGTCCCTACCTACAAGATGGCAAAAAGATATCGAACAAAATGGTACCGACATACTTTAGTTAAACGTAAATAAAATTTATTAAAAAAAAAAAAGTGATTTTTCTTAAAAGATGCGAAGAAACTTTTTCCCCAACCTATAATTTATAAAGTGGGGTCTCTATTGTAAAAACTTTAAATAATTAAAACAATATACCTTTATGTGTAAATGTATATTACTATGTTAAAGGTTAAGTATATTTTGAATGATTCAGTTGGATACATATATCCATATAATTTATGTAACTTTTTAATGCAACGCGGCACTTTTGCATTGAAACCACTTGCCTGAGGCGAGATTAGATAATAAAGTATTAGGTTAATTTTATTGTGAGTCACAAGTACAGGGAATAAATTTGTATGAATCATTTGTAGGAATCCGAGAGCACTGAGCTGATCTTTAGGGCTAATTTATTAATAAAACCTCGGAACACTTTTATTCGCGTATAGTTTTGAAGACCATTCAGGGGGAAGAAAAGAAGGGGAACAATTGCGTTACCAACTTAAAAATAGCCAAGCTTTAATACAAGAATGTTGGATAGAAATACCAACATTATTTATCTAATTTTTAATACTAGTAGTCCCGCAGTAGTCNGGACTGAGCTGATCTTTAGGGCTAATTTATTAATAAAACCTCGGAACACTTTTATTCGCGTATAGTTTTGAAGACCATTCAGGGGGAAGAAAAGAAGGGGAACAATTGCGTTACCAACTTAAAAATAGCCAAGCTTTAATACAAGAATGTTGGATAGAAATACCAACATTATTTATCTAATTTTTAATACTAGTAGTCCCGCAGTAGTCGAAATTCGACTATAATTAATTTTAATAATAAGTTTGAACTTTATTATGGTTCTATTGTCAGACTTTTAAACTTCTATAATCACAGATTTCGCCAAGACTACACTATAAACAAATAATATTAAAGATAAACAATTTGACTACAGACTTTAAGCAATAACAATATTTTTGACAACAAACAAATAGTATGCATGCGTGTGTGTGTCAAATACATGTAATGTGTGTGTAATGTTTGAATGTATTTCGTCGTAAATGTAAATCGTTACTTGGGGTCGCTTATGTAAAAATAAAAATGCTTAAAAATGTTTTCATTGTTTCACGACTCTCGTTTTCTCCTCTGTCTTGTTTTAATTAATTATTGTATTTCTAATTTAACTTGATATCTGTTTTTATTTCTATTTATTACCTCGGAACCTGTTTCACTAGTGTTAATAATTTAATTCTGGGATATCATTTAATTATTTTATAAGACACGTCTTGGCTTTAGCCTTGTGCGTTTACAATGTTAACATTCATTTAAAATAATAAAACAATTCTAATCAGTTTTCAGGAACTAAAAGGCCTCTGAATTAGTTAGAGTTTGCACATACTTCCGGAACAGACGGACGAATAATTTCTGGTTTATTGTGGTACATGATCCAGTGTGCAGTGTTCTAGAGTTGGTACCAATCGAAGACCATGACGTCTTAGTTTGCGTTCTTCACTCTCCTACAGATACCCACCGTAATTTACAGTGGTCCCTAATTTAATATATTTCTGTTGAATATCCACATTTCAGCGGACACTAGTGTTAGGCAATCTACTAATGAAATACTGCCGAAAAATATTAATTGAAGCTAACGTGGCCTAAATTATAAAGCGCCCAGTGCATTCGCATCAGGCGATACAACTGTGCCAGTGTGCGAAACACGGAGGCAGGTACTAATATTTCGAATGAAATACGTACTTAACAACCGTTCACGATTGACTCCCATGGCGAAGGAATAGCATCGTGTAATAAAAACCAAACCCGCAAAAAATATTATTTGCACAATTACTGTTGGGAGAACGTTCACAGGCGTAATTACCACCACCCTGCCTGTATCTGCCGTGAAACAGTAATGCGTTTCGGTCTGAAGAATGGAACAGCCTTTGTACTATAAAACTGAGACCTTAGAACTCATATCTTAAGGTCGGAGAAGGCTTTTATATTGTTAATATCTCAGGGCTCCGATAATTACTTAACACCAGGTAGGCTGTGAGTTGTTCCACCTATCTAAGCAATAATAAAACAATTATAATATTAAAGTCGACTTCATATTTACAGGTATTCGGAAGTCAAAGTGTTAAGATCGTATTACAACAAATTTTAAGATAATTACGTTCGCATTCGTAACAAGGTCGTGATCACATTGATATGGTATCTAAGATATTAAGGCTTATAAGATAGGAGATGTTGACCTCTACCTTAATAAGTACATTTTGTCGTTCAAAATTGAATCGTAACATTGATATGTTTTAGATTTTCAATGAAAAAAAAAACAAGTCAATACTCGAATTCATTAACGCGTGCAATCGTTTAGAATTTTTGTATTAGTTTTTTTTCTTTTCTCTTAGCTCAGTATTCCTCTTTTGGAAAGCCAACACACAAGAAAGCCAAGAAACAATTATTTTGATTTCGTATGTGGTAAGATTTGTGTAAAAACCTTTTGATTTATCTTTAATTATATTTTCAATTATTATTTGTGTCATAATAGGTATTGTTATACAGTAGTAGCGATAATGTGTGTGTACATATTTGTTCTGTAATAGCAAATTTATAGAACTAAAGCATAGTATATAAAGCATAATTTTAGGTAATTTACAATATGTACACCGTCTTAAATTAACAGTAGGTGGTTTATGGTATAATTAACAGTGGTACAATTATCAAGACAAATACAAAGGATAATAATACTACCTGTTCAAAATGTTCAAATGGCTCAAAATACATTCATTTTTATTCGTAATATTATGTCTAAATTCGATTTAGTCTATGGTTTCAAGTACGTCAGTAGCGTTCTCGAAGATCCATATATATGTTTTCCTAATTTTTCATCAAACATTCTCTCGCAATAGCGGTCCATGAAAAATGCAAAGGTGCAATTTCCCTTCATAATAAAANTACTACCTGTTCAAAATGTTCAAATGGCTCAAAATACATTCATTTTTATTCGTAATATTATGTCTAAATTCGATTTAGTCTATGGTTTCAAGTACGTCAGTAGCGTTCTCGAAGATCCATATATATGTTTTCCTAATTTTTCATCAAACATTCTCTCGCAATAGCGGTCCATGAAAAATGCAAAGGTGCAATTTCCCTTCATAATAAAACATCGATTTAACGAAACAACAAGCATTCTGCATAATTGAATAGGCGTAGTAAAATTGTAATTAAATTTGATTGTTTACAAGTTGATTAAGACGCACTATCAGCTAATCGCTCAGAACCACAAGAAAGTTGACAGTTTTTTTTTAACAATTCGAAAAAGAATTTTCTGTGGCTACCCTTGCGGCTTACGTGTTACGAGCCATGGTATATACCACCATCCTACTACTTCCTGCAGTGGAGTTACTATGCTTTTAGCTTAGTAGTAGTGGCTTGCCATGATGGGTAAATGAGCTCAAATCCTACCACATGAAGTGCGTCTTAGAACCCATAAACATCAGTTTTGAAGATGAGATTATAGTCTCAATTGTAATGTTTATTAATAATGCTGCTGCTGCTCTGAAATAGGCAGGACGGTGGTACACATACTACCGGATAGGAAGAATAGAGATTTTGGTTTACCGTTTGTGAGTATATGTATATACATATGTCGATGTGCGTAGTTCCTTGGAAAAAAAATCGCACCGAATTTAAAAAGCAAGAAAATATAGTGTACATGCTTTAAACTTTAATATAGTATGCTTAATGAATTAGCTTTGAAATATTTGTAATGTTTTAGAAATCTTAAAATGAAGGGAAAATATCATAAAGTACGTTTTAATCTTCTATTAAATACTAAGTAGCTTTAAATAGGAAAAAAAGTTTTAAATTTTGCAATACATTTAAAAAAAATGTTGCAATTGAAATATTAAAATCGTGTAAATATATAGTATATATTACTATTCTATAAGTCCGTGATCACGAAAAATGTGATGTATTCGGAACGTCCAAAATAATATATTATTATAATGAGAGTAAAAACGCGATATTTAGCCGTAAAAGTAATTTTGAAAATCTAAGAGTTTGCTTAAATTGCTCTAAAGTGCATCACCATCGGAGGGATGGATGTAATGTGCTCTGTGTCAACCCTGTCCCGCCGTCTCAATAGCCCCGACTGGGCTCCGGCCCGGTCCGAGGTAAGGCGCCGGTTGTGAGCGGCAGGAGTTTTTAGTGAGGTTCAACTCCCACATACCCGCCGCGCGGGTGGGGATCTGGCGATTTTGTCCTGTGGAAAAAAAAAGAAAAAAAAAAAGGTGCAGCACCATAGTAGTAGGCTTATACACAAGAAAAGGGGCCTATTACCCTTAATCTTTGCAGATTGCCGCCGGTCGGTAGCATCAGATTGACTAATACCTGTTTCGTTTGGGATAAAGGTGAAGCGCAGCTGACAATGTTGTTCACTCGATACAAGCACAAATTCACGGACATCGACTACAGTTTGTTCCTCGCATACTCCGTCTTTGTTGGGATTATCGGTGAGTTTAATTATAAATTTAGAACGACAATTACCCTTTTGTCGAAATGGTCCGTCGTGTACGTGTTCGTCACAAGTAATTATTTTATTTATTACATTTCCTCTTTTGTTACTGACTGTTTTTCTGGCAATGGTGGTTAATCTGCTGGTCACAGACGACTAAGGTGACATTCGTCGACTTCTGAATACTAGAATAATAGAGTAAAAAACATACCTATTAAAAATCAAATTTCTTTGCACATAGAAACAGAAGTTTAACTTAGGGTTTCATTTTTACGATAAAAATATGCCTCTGGTAAGATGATAAGAGATGAAAGAGATGCGATATCTTGTATTAAAAAGTCAATTTCAGTTGAGTACAAATTGTAAAAGTTGTATGTAAATAATAAAATTTTCCAGTTTGGCAATAGTATTTTCGGTGGTTTTCTTAAGACACATAATCGCCTTTTCGCATTAAAAGTGTACAATTTCCAAAAATATTCGGAATTGAGTTAATATGCGTAAACATTTGGTATCGCCAGTATTTTTCTCATAAACACGGTCAAAAGAGCGTATTTTGTTTTAGTTTTTTTTTTTTACTTTTCATATGTTTTGACTACTATTAACAAAATTAATACATAATTTAATCTTACTTTGAAAGACAGATAACGTAACTGGTAAAAAATAAATGTTGCAAATATGATTAATATTAAAAATATCACATGTTACGTCTTTAAAACACTCTCCTGTAAAATTAGTAAGTTTTGAGGTTATACAGCTTTAATGCGAGAAGACGATATATAAAAACATAAGGAGGCTCAAAATATATATAGCCGTCTAAAACTGCAAATGGAATAAAATAAACGTTAAACGAAAGTATGTATTGCACTAATCTTAGCTGATAATAAATTTTCTATACGACATAGTATTTTGTTACGACGATTTTTCAAAATCAAATTAATTTTTCTTGTCTGCTATCAACGCCTAATCTCCTCCTCATTCTTTCCCTCATTGCTGAGGATCGTAATATATTTGGTGCAATTTGCTGAGTCTCTCTTAGCTGATCTGCTATGGGCTTGATGAAGGCAATGCTTAAAGATATCTCTAGATATTCTGATACTTTACACGAAACTTATTCCTCTTGACCCCTCACCCTCATATTTCCCAGCAACATTCATGGTTGCCGAAGCTTTTTTTTTATTATCTTGCCGAAATACAACACAGCGTAAGCACGCTGCGGAATTGCTATGATCATTGTAATCCAAGGCGATAGTTGTTTTCAGTTTCGTAACATAACAAAAACGCCCAGTGTGAAAATGTATTCAATAAATTTATTTCCAACCTTTCTATAATAAGTGGCACAGGTACTAAAAGTATTTAGACCGGTCACCGCAATTTTTATTTAAAGTAAACATATCGCTAAACATACCGCCGTGAATAAATAAGTGTCTTTGAACACTTTTGCCAGTATCCTTTTGTATTATTCTCAGTGATATTTCTCACTGAACCTTCAAAGTGGTCGGACACTCGTAGTATTTTTCCGTGATTCCTATTTTCAGGAAATAACCAGATTTGCAATATAATGATAACGCAAACATTGTTCGTAATCTTGTTAAATTTTGTCTTTGTTTTTTTGTATGATCATGTCATTCTTTGAATGTTTATGTTACTCGTAAAAGCCGTGAATTTTGTTTGCCTATTTACTATTGCAAGACCGTTTTTCCTTTTTTCTTATTTAACTAAATTTTATTTGACATTCAAACGTGTGCTCCGCAAACATTTGTGTGTAGAACGTTTGTAAGCAAACATTCATTTATGTACAATTCCGTACGAATTTCATTCAGCATGGTAAAGACAAACATTGTCAGCAGTTTTCATTTATTTTACCAGTCTTATTTTGCTATTACAATTAGACATTTTTGCCATTTGAGACCGATGATAATAACATTAAAGAGCCCGTAAATATCTGACGGACGGTATTTATAGCAATATGAGGCTAATACTATATGTTCTAATATCCTCGTTTAATTCCTACCGGTTATGAGTTCTGGTATGAAAAGTGAAAAAATTGTAATTTAATAACATTTTTGACTTCGATCTCATGTTATAAGATGATGGTAAGTGTTTACGGAAAATCGCTTAGAAGTCGATAAATCCGCCTTGATAATACAGCAAAAAAGACTGAATTATTTCTCCAAAAAGGACTTGTTAGTTAGCTAGATTTAAAACTAACCAGCGAACAGTGTAACAATCTATACTAATATATAAATCTACAGTGGTTTTTACGGATGTTCCGTTATAACTACTGAACAATGCATCCGATTGACTTGAAACTTGGTATCCGTGTAGAAAATACATGTACTTAATGGATAAGCTAATATTTATATGAGTTTTGGACTCCTTAATAATAATGAAAATAAATAATAATGTTCATTTTAAATGCGCAGCCAATACCTTGTACTTTACAAATTTTTGTTCAGGTTCCTTCATAACAATATACTTGTTCAGCAAAAGATGGAAGTTCGAGGACAGTATGATTGGAGTGATCGCGTGCTTCAGCAGAATCCTCGCGAGTATTGTCTACGCGGTGGCCCCGAACAGGACCGTTTACTTCCTTGGACCGGTCCTGGACATGTTCAGTTCAGCCGGTGCAACTTCCCTGAGGTCGCTCGCTTCTAAGCTTGTCGATTCTGACGAAGTTGGTGAGTTTTACTGTTTTTTTTTATTTTTTTATTTTATTGAGATATCGATGTCCATGATAACCTCCTCAGAGTCATTGACACATATTTGTACGTTTTTTTTTATCACCACTACATAGTATAAAACAAAGTCACTTTCTCTGTCCCTATATCCCTATGTATGCTTAAATCTTTAAAACTACGCAACAAATTTTGATGTGTTTTTTTTAATAGATAGAGTGATTGAAGAGAAAGGTTTATATGTATAATAACATCCATTAAATAGTGGAAAAATCAAAAATAAATTACAGTTTCCGAAGCGAAGCGAGGGCGGGTCGCGAGTTGTTGATATATTGAACTCTACGCTAAATGGCCACACATCTGGACATTTTGTTTATTACTTATTGAATTGTTTTCAATATCAAACAAATACAATGATACAAATGATACCAATACAATGATCAAACCACAATAAAAAATTAACAAAGTGCATGTTTGTTGTACATTAAAAATTCATCTTGAAGCATATAAAGAATTTAAAATATTGCTTCAAGTAACATTGTGGAACGCCTTTTTCAATTTTCAATAGTGTTTTTTTGCGAAAAACATCAAAATCGTCTCCACAATAAACCATGTCTAATACTATATATAAAACACTTACCATGCCAAATTACTTAAAAGCAATATTAAATGGCGGGCAAAATTAAAATCACATTTACAGGATTTTAGGTTCACGGACTCTCAAAATTTACGTTCGATCTAGCCAGAACTATGTACATAGTTTCGTTAATGAAATAAAAAAAGCTCTGAACTCGAAACAGATGAATGCGTGTGGGTACTCAGATTTCGTGTTATCACGTTTATTTTAAATAGTAAAATCAGCTCCAAGCATTAACATTGTTAAGAACAACCTTTCAAGAACAATATTTCTGCCGTGAAGCAGTAATGCGTTTCGGTTTGAAGGGTGGGGCAGCCGTTGTGACTATACTGAGACCTTAGAACTATATCTCAAGGTGTGTGGCGCATTTACTTTGTAGATGTCTATGGGCTCCAGTAACCACTTAACACCAGGTGGGCTGTGAGCTTGTCCACATATCTAAGCAGTAAAAAAATAATTTTTCGGCCTAAGTTGTAGTCGTGAAGAGAATAGTTCAAAGTTTGAAATTTTCGTGAAATACGTCAATTATTTTACGTTAATTTTGGGCCACCTTTTTTATGTTTATCGTACTAGCCCGTAAATTTCGCTAAATCACCAACAAACATTGTATTCGGATAAGAAACATGCGAACAAATAGAACAGAAATATCTCAACAACCAGAGTCATTGTTGTTCATTACCATAGGTCATAACATTATGAAAACTTTCTTTGATTAAATATGGTGTTTGCCTAAATGATAGCTTACAACAACATGGTTACATAATACGCCTAGATACTGGAAAAGTACTAAGCAAAGATTCCAATATTTACATGTGTCACTACAAATTGACAATAGGCTTGCAACCGGTGCACAATCAAAATATAAACATGTTGTTATTATGTATCCCTAAATAATTCTAAAGTAAATTCAAATTTATTGCTCACTTTAGTTTACAAATAGTTTCCATTGCAAAGGAAAATGCCGCGATGGAAAACTATATCCTATTGTTCTAATGATAACAGGTGTGTTTGTTTTGATTGAATAATAACTTAACTTATTGTCCTAAAGAGGTCAAATTAGGAAGTCAATTATTAATTAAAAATCACTCTTGGCATATTATTTTTTGTTCTAATCGTCGTATTAATAATACGCAGTAAATAACGCAGAAAGAAAAACTCTGTTTAAAAATACTAGTGTCTCTGCTAATGACAATACAATATCTAATTCCTGTATATATTTGCAGTAGATGATTATTTTTATAAAAATCTCACAATTCACACAGGAGCAAATAGTTATTTGACCTTCGCTGCAAATAAAAAGCATTTGAAATTTGAAGCATTTCTTCGGTTGCGGAAAATCGATTAAATTTTTATTTAATTCAACAAATTCGTTTTCGATTTCTTTCTTCAATTTTCCAATAAAGCAATCTACAAAGCGCGTGCAATTGGTTTTTAATTTTCTAAATCTAGTTTGAAACATTTTTTTTATAAGTAGTTATTTATATATTGAATTGAATTTATCTAGGATTAACATAGTGATCTGCTTCAATCTGTTGCACGTTTTTATTTTGTGTTAACCGATTTACAATGACGCGACTTTATCTATGAACCATAAATCAGTTCGCTCTAGTTAAGGAACCGCAAACATAGGAATTGTATAATCCGTAAAAGAAACAGGCGACGTTTTTGCACGTCTTACCCCGTCATATACTGTGAGGTTCTCATTAAAACACAAAAGGATAATTACGTATGTATTGTATACCTTGTTTGTGCTATAAAGCAATTGACAGTCCCAATATGAGGGAAGTTTTTTTTTTTTATTACCCTTGTAGGCAAACGAGCATACGGCCCACCTGATGGTGAGCGGTTATCGTCGCCCATGGACTTTAGCAATGCTAGGGGCAGAGCCACGCCGCTGCCTACCGCTTAATACTCTCCACAAGCCTCGTTTGAAGAAGGACATGTCATAGCGCTCGGGAAACACCGTGGAGGGGAGCTCATTCCATAGCCGGATGGTACGTGGCAAAAAAGACCTCTGGATGATCGCAGTGGCTCCAGGTAGTATGGATGAACTCTACTCCGGTACTAAAGTTCAACTCATTTCGATCCTCTATTAGAATTTGAACTCAATCGTTCCAAGAGGAATGGCAGTATTCACGCTGTGAACTCCGATAAAAACTAAACCAGCAGAGCTTTGAATTCCTATACTCATTAAACATTATTAAATAACGAATCGAAATAATGGACGGATTATTCCTTGATATAAAAATAACAATACGAATCTAAATAAACTCATGACCTAGTTGAAATATCACGACACTCTTATCGGCACCACAAACAATTCGACTCAAAATACTCAATACGATTTTCGTTCAGACGGCTCGTTACGGTTGGACAGGCACTGGAAACTATTTATGGAAGCGGTTACGTTTTCGTATTGAAATCGGTTTGGGAAATACCTCGATGACCGACGTTGCAACATATCTGTCTAATCATGATCCATCTTGAAGTCATCGTCACACTCGACAGAGTGCCGACAGCGAAACCTGGAATTTTTTTTTTTTATGAATTTCATCGAAGTCTATTGTGAGGTGCATATTTTTTTTATAGTTTTGTATTTTTAATTGTTTTCAATTTAATTGATTGTATTAAATTTAAATTTGCAAATTAAGAGCAGTGAAAGGCCTAGATAGACAGTTAAGCCCAAACCAGTGGTCTGAACAGATGACTTGGAGCTAGAAACGCTGGTCAACGAATTTCTCCACGAGGCAAGAGATATGAAGATAGAGATTTTAAGTCGTCGTGGCCTAAAGGATAAGACGTCCGGTGCATTCGTATCTAGCGATGCACCGGTGTTCGAATCCCGCAGGCAAGTACCGATTTTTCTAATGAAATACGTACTTAACAAATGTTCACGATTGACTTCTACGGTGAAGGAATAACATCGTGTAGTAAAAATCAAACCCGCAAAATTATAATTTGCGTAATTACTGGTGGTAGGACCTCTTGTGAGTCCACACGGCTTGGTACCAACCACCACCCTGCCTATTTCTGCCGTGAAGCAGTAATGCGTTTCGGTTTGAAGAGTGGGGCAGCCGTTGTACCTATACTGAGACCTTAGAACGTATAACTAAAGGTGGGTGGCGGAATTTACGTTGTGGATGTCTATGGGCTCCGATAACCGCTTAACACCACGGGGCCAAAATATAAAAAAATATATGGGTAGTTTAGGAAAATGGAGAAATAGTGAGAAGAGTAGAGAAGAGTCACGATCCTGAAAAATAAGGAAACGATTGAGAATCGAAATCGAATCTGGCTTATTTGCCTAAAAAATAGTTTCAGTAAACATACCAAAAAGAGATTCATAAGTCACTGCCGTAAATCATATAAGTGATTATGTATCTATTTTGATTAATAAGAATCGGGTCGCTTGTTTTATGGAAAAATTATAATGAAGTCACATCATTAACTTGTTTACAGACAAATAAAATGTTAATTACGACTTATAAATATTTTTAGCCCTTGAAATAAATATAATTTCTAACCGCATTGCTTCCTTCAAACACAAGGCGCCGACACACATTTCGACCTATATTTATATCATCTTTGTGCTGAGATGAGAATCACGCACATAAATGAAGACAAACATCTTTATGGAAAATCACTATTCATTTTGTAATTTACATTATCACATTACGAAGATTGCAATTGAATTCAAACCTGTATCGAAATTGATATACATTGTGATTTAATTAACTAAATTTACGTGTTAGCATGAGTCATGACGTGTTTTTTCATCACAGATAGTAGTCACTAATAGCTCTTTAAGCACAAGAGTAGAAATACGCTATAACAAATGTGATTTTACATTTATAATAGGTTAAAATCTAATTGATTTTTTTTATTAACAGTATTTTTCCATAAAATTTTAATTTATTTATTCATCTATTGTATACATACGCGTGATAATGATGAAAACCGTCCAGTGAGGGTCTCGCCGGATCTTTTTTTGTGAGTCGCGATTCTAATCCAGTAGTAGATTCACGAAAGCACTGCTTTTGCGAGGGCCACTGTTAGAAATTCTCTCAGGTTGAGCCCGTGAGCTCACCTACCTATCCGCGAGAACTTAGAATAGCTCCTTAGGCTACCAATGATTAGGTAAGGAAGAAGAGTTTTTTCGTATGCATAGGTAACCGTTGTAACTATACTTTAGACGTTAGAAGCAGTAATGCGTTTCGGTTTGAAGGGTGGGGCAGACGTTGTAAACATACTGAGATCTTAGAACTTATATCTCAAGGTGGGCGGTGCATTTACGTTGTAGATGTCTATGGGCTCCAGTAACCACTTAACACCAGGTGGGGTGTGAGCTCGTCCACACATTTAAGCAATAAAAAAATAAAAAAATGCTCCGCCATCTTGACTATTTCTGATGTGAAACAATCGTGAACTATCATTTTTTTTTATTTGTTGCTTAGATGGGTGGACGAGATCCCAGCCCAGTTATGTGGTTACTGGAGCTCATAGACATCTATAACGTAAATGCGCCACCCACCTCGAGATATAAGTTCTAAGTTCATGTATAGTTACAACGGCTCCCCCACCCTTCAAACCGAAACGCATTACTGCTTTTACGGCAGAAACAGGCAGGGTGGTTGTACCTACCCGTGCGGACTCACAAGAGGTCCTACCGCCAGTAATAAAGTAGTAATAATATGCGCTCTTACTTACAGAGTGAAACAGTGAAATGGGTGACTGCTTCTTAGCAGAAATAGACAAGATGGTCGTACCCGTGTGTGTCTACAATACGCCCTACCACCAGTATTTACGAATATAAAATAAAAGTGCGAGTGCGTATTTTTATTACGACACGACTAGCGACCCGCTCTCGCTTTGCTTCGGAAACATTAAATGTTATTATTGATAGCCGAGTCCCGCGATGTTAACCGCGGTTATTGTTGTACCGCGTGACGCCGCGGGACGAAGCTAGTCTAAAAAATGTAGCCTACGTTACTACTTTTATCATTAGCTACCTATCAGTGAAAGTCTCGTCAAAATCGGTCTAGCCGTTCCAGAAATTAACCGGAACAAACAGAGAGACAGAGAGATAGACAAAAATTGTAAAAAATGTTATTTTGGTGTATATATTAGTCATAAGCATGTAGTAAAAAGCGGTTATTTCAATATTACAAACTGATACTCCAATTTTATTTATATGTATAGATGTTATTCTTTCGTCATCGGAGTCATTCGGGAGCACATCCTCATCAAAATTGATACCTACCTACAGTATTTAAACAGCGGCATAGTCACGTCACATAAATATATTAATTCACACATTATACTATAGGTATATGGAATGAATTAATGGACCGTTGCAAGTAAGATTTCTAATGTAGTACCTCCTAATACGTATTGTTAAGAGCGTGATATTGTTGTAACCGGTGCTCATAGGCATCAAACTGTGAATGCGGTCAACCATATTGAGGTATATGGCAGAAATGTATTGTATGTTGTATGTCTTCTATTCTTTTTTCCCCTACTTTTGCTGATAGCCTTGAGAGGCTATTTCAGCTTCTCCTTGACGTGTAGATGAGCTCACGGGGCTCAAGCCGGAGTGTTGCTAACACTGGCCCTACCGAGAGCAGTGCTTCGCAGAATCTACCACCGGATCGAAACGCGAGCCACTGAGAAGATCCGGCGAGAAACTCAGTGGGCTGTGTCTATGAGTTAATTCGCTCGTCAAGCCCTTCGTCGCAAGCGACGGTTTCGACTAGGAACAGTGCTGAATTGACTGAGCATCTTAACAATTTTAATATACAAATTGCTTATGTATCACATTGTGCCGCTGTGAGCGAGTGGTTTGTGAAGATAGTTCTTGTTTGTTCTTATTGTTTTCATCATCATCATCATTATCCAGCCCTTCTCCCAGTCACCTGGGGTCGGTACAACATGTTTTCTCCTCCCATACTCTTCTATAATATACTATTTCTTCACTCACTCCCCGCTTACCCATATCGTCTTTCACGCAATCCATCCATTTCTTCTTAGGTCTACCTCTTCCTCTATATCCTTCCACATTCATAGTTAACACTCTCTTACTAACCTCATTTTCATTTCGTCTCATCACATGTCCATACCATCCCAAACGCGCACTTCTCAGCTTCTCTGTCACAGGTGCCACTTTCAGACTTCCTCTAACATATTCATTCCGTATTCTATCCATTTGTTTTATGATGGAAATTTCAATTGAATTATTGAAATCACCCCTACTCCAGTGTATGTTGTGTCTCGGGCTTCTATCCCGCCAAATTGTAGACATTACTCGCACTCGCCACAAGCTTTAGATAAAACTTGATTTATATTCACAATAAGCATTTAATAGTACACTAGTTGCTGTGAGCGTATTCCAAACTGCGCACATTATACTTATTGTGTTCAAATGAGGAAATAACATATACATTTAGATTTAGTTAAATACTATTTTATTTAAGCCGTGACCGTGTTAGCCGTTATTTGTTAAAAACATGGTTATCGTATTAGTTTTATTTATTACGTAGAAGGTAAAACTATGTACAATATTAATTAATTAATCTATAATATATATAAAAATGAATTGCTGTTCGTTAGTCTCGCTAAAACTCGAGAACGGCTGGACCGATTTGGCTAATTTTGGTCTTGAATTATTTGTGGAAGTCCAGAGAAGGTTTAAAAGGTAGTTAAATATAAAAATGCCCGGAATTAAATAAAATTAACAATTTTGTTTTTCCCTTGATGTGTCCCCCGTCTTTTGTTTATTTTAAGTTTATTTTATACAAAAGCTTAGGTCTTTTATTTATCAATTGAGGCACTACGAAGTCTGCCGTGTCAGCTAGTACCTATTACAATATTAATTTTAATTTCATAGCATGTATCGATGGAATTACCGTATGGTTACAATTCAATCATTTAAAAAAAGCATCGAACGAGACCGAAATGTTTTCCTAATGTATATGTAATTGAATTATCTACTACAAGTTTGTGGGCGATGACGGTACTATCAATAACAAAACAATTAATGAACTTAGTCAAATTTCATTTTGAAAAGTTTATCATCAACGTGAATGCTGATAATATTTCTTTTTTATTGCTTAGATGGGTGGACGAGCTCACAGCCCACCCGGTGTTAAGTGGTTACTGGAGCCCATAGACATCTACAATGTAAATGCGCCACCCACCTTGAGATATAAGTTCTAAGGTCTCAGTATAGTTACAACAGCTACCCCACCCTTCAAACCGAAACGCATTATTGCTTCACGGCAGAAATAGGTGGGGTGGTGGTACCTACCCGTGCGGCCTCACAAGAGGTCCTACCACCAGTAGATAAATTCAGTTCTTTCTAGAATCTTTCATTTTTAAGCTACGAAGGTTGAATTTATTGCATGTTTCATGCTCACCGACGCTCATTGTAATGTCACCAACACAGTTGCTTTATAAGCACATTAATAATTTTCCGGACAATTTTTACGCTGCAAACTGCTCTCCATGCTTTTTTTTTCCTAGCGGGTTGAGTCATTTCGTATTTGTTACAGGTAAAACGAGCTCTCTAATCAGCATATCAGAGGCGCTAGTTCCTGTGATCTACTCTCCGTTGTACGGATACGTGTATAAAAAGACTATGAGTACGTACTCTGGTGGTTTTTACCTGATCAGCACCGCGCTAGCTCTGCCCGCAACTGTGATACTAATGTAAGTAAGAAACTCGAATACAAATCTACAGTGGTTTTTACGGATGTTCCGTTATAACTACTGAACCATGAATCCGATTGACTTGAAACTTGGTATTCATGCAGAAAATACATGTACTTAATGGATAGACTAATATTTATATGAGTGTTGGACTCCCTACACCAGTTGAGGGGGCGCTAATGATGAGAATCTTTGTGGGGGCGAGAAATAATGATGTTAATTTTAAATGCCCAGCGAAGGGTTCGGTTACAGCTAGTACTTTTTGATCTTATGCACCGTTGAACGCTCATCATAGTTTTTATTTTTATTGGATACATGTGTGGACGAGCTCACAGCCCACCTGGTGTTAAGCGGTTACTAGAGCCCATAGATATCTACAACGTGAATGCGCCACTCACCTTGAGATATAAGTTGTAAGGTCTCAGTACAGTTCAACCGTTACCCCACCCTTCAAACCGAAACGCATTACTGTTTTACGGCAGAAATAGGCAGGGTGGTGGTACCTACCCATGCGGACTCACAAAAGGTCCTACCACCAGTAATTACGCGGGTTTGATTTTTATTACACGATGTTATTCGATGAAGTCAATCGTGAACATTTTTTAAGTACGTATTTCATTAGGAATATAAATATAATTTTTGGTCAAATCGCAACGCAGTCACATACTACCAATTAAAGTACAAAATTACCTTAAATAGATAATATATTATTATACATTGCACAAAATTTACACCAAGTAAATCAAACTGTTTTTATTTGCGCTCTCAATACGAAATCGCATCAGATTTTTTACTCGAAGAGTTTAAAAGAACACTCTGAGTTCAGAGAATTTAGCAATACATGAGTCAATGACCTATATTCTTCGATAGGGAGGTAATGAAAATATCGTTTACGGACGTAACAATAAAATACCTAGTTGTTTCATTCGAACAGATTTAAAAAACATTTTAGAAGGTAACTCAATAGCAAATCTTGAATCTTGCGACAAGTATTTTTGTCTTAGAGACAGAATTTACAACAAGCTTTCGTAAACTTGTTGAACAAAATATAAACCTTTAAAAATGTTAACTTAAAAATACCCATAATTCTGTAGGTAATTTTTATTAATTCGACATAACGGCCATCTTGGGTTCCGTTTGGTTAATTAAAAATAAAAATTGTGTAAGATCTCGGTGTTAGACTTGACGTCATTCAATTATTGCACAGTGAAGACCGCGGCTTACCTCGATATTCAACATTAAAATCACAATTGACACACGGCTATCTCATCCTTCGGCAAAGAGTTCGACGTGCAACCTAACCCATGCATCAGCCCGCTGAGTTTCTCGCCGGATCTTCTCAGCGGGTCGCGATTCCGATCCGGTAGTAGATTCATTCACGAAACAGCTGGTTTTGAGTTGTTAGGTCTGCTTCCTCCTGGCTGAGCCTTTGCTCGCCCACCTGTCCTGGTGAAACTGGAAAGGCCTCCGGGCCTCCAGTAATTCTTCAATCATAAAAAAAATATATAATACTATCATTCTCTTTTGGTCTTTCCCGAGACCAACGCAAAAGACGAGGTGATAGGTCGTGATAAGACGTGATACGTCTTACAGTTAAAATTACAATTGTACTATATCAAAATAAATGATTGCATACTCTCACGTAAATAATGAATTGTAGCGTCGAACATTATTGCGACAGCTTTGCAAAAAGAGACCTTGTGCACGACGTGAGAGTTCGCCCTTCCTATGAATTTTCATCACAAACCATTCGATTTCTAATAAACTAAGCCTTGAACTGCCATTTTCTATTTATGTTTGTCTAATTTTGAACCTTTAATGGGACTAAAGGAGATTGGAATGTTTTTATCAAACCAATTTTTTTTTTTAACGTAAATAAAAAAAAAATGTAGCTACGGCTAGCTATAATTGTGGTTACTGAATCATCATATTTAAATAAGCTTTGTTGGTAGTGCCTAGATTAATGATTGTATGGGTCATTAAAATAAATTACAAGAAAATGAAAAAGGCTTAACGACAAAAATGTGCTAAATTACTAAAATAAAATAATTAATAATTAATTAATTTTAGAATATTTTTATTTTATATTCTAAAAATATTCTAATGTAGCTACCAAAACAAAAACGAATGTTTCATTGTATTTTTGTCCTCCATGTTGTTCTGTACCATTTATGCGATTTTTACAACACATTGTTGTTGAAGAATCAGGAAAAGTTCACGTCATAGTATCATTTACATACATATGTACGAAAGATCCCTTGCATGTAGTTTCAATGAATGGTAGGCAGCGACTTGGCTGTGCCTGTAACATTACTAATATTATCCATGAGCGATAGCCATTGGTCACCAAGAGGTTGGCCGTAAGCTCATTTGCCTACAACCATGGTTGGATGGTACTTATTTATTTTACCTATACTGATAGTCTTGAGAGGCTATTTCAGCTTCGCCTTGACGTGTAGATGAGCTCGCGGGGCTCAAACCGGACTGGATGGTACCATGCGGAGATATCGTTTATATATAAAATTTATATCTATTATTTAGATTTCATAATATATTCAGTTAACATTTCAAACACGGCGTGAGATTCACAGCCGCGGCTTTTTGTTTATTTAATGTGTATCGAATCAAAAAAGAAAAAAAAAAAGAAGATGAAATAGCGTTCCCTTTGCTTTTTTTTACACATCGTTTTTTGAACATAGATAGGTACAGCAACGTAGATGAAAACAAGTCATGATTTATATAACAACGGTTCGACCTTTAACTACATGATTACAGTAACCGTAAAGTATATGAGACGTGTTGCCGTCGGATATTGAAGGGATAGTACGATGAAAACAATAGACCAGTGATTCTCAACCACTGTTCCGCGGCACTTTTGTGTGCCGCCAAATCTAGCGAATATATAATAATGTTAATATTATTAAATTATATCATTTGAAAAGAAAAATATTTTAAACATGAATACATATTTAAATCCACAAAAAAAAATTATAGTATATTTTAGTTTATTTCGTATATTAAAATTTTTTGATAAACTATTTATGCAGTGTGTTGTAGTTAGTAAATAATTTTTCTTTTTTTTTTGTGTGCCGCCAAATTTTAAAATCGTTAAATATGTGCCGCAACAACAAAAAGGGTTGAGAATCACTGCAATAGACATAAGACAGAGCCGTAAAAATGGTTTAGTTTCGTAAATAACTCAAGAAAACCTGATATTCAAAACAGCACTACATAATACGTAGTATGATGACAAAGAATATCGTCAGTATCTGTAATAGTTTTAAAGGAAATTTTGCTTAGCGTCCGAAACAAGGTCATTGTCGAAATTTCAATTGAAATTTAATCATTTTTGTTCAATCATTTATTATTGTTTATTTACAGAATTTTGTACGTCTTGCGCTCGAAGGAAGCGAGAGAGGCCAAAAGAAAACAGGAAACGAAGAAAGAAAGTGAGATTACCCGTTTTTGAATATCGTTTAATATATTTATTATGTTTAAGATTAAAAAAACTATCTGTAATATTAGAAAATCTCAATAAAATTAAGATTTGTATTGATATCGTGCTTTTTAATTATCAATCAATTTCCTTGACCTTTAATGTAGTGAAATACATTTATTTGAGACATAGTTTCCATTTCAGCTACTTTGGTTCGTTAAGAATAGCAGTTACAGCTAGCTACACGCCGAGAGGATACAGTAATTTCCAATTTTTTCTATGCTACGTACAATGTAGGTACATAAATGTTTATAAAATTGAGTTTATCACTTCTGTTAAGAGACCTCAGTCTCTCAGTTACATCTCACACAAAATATTAATTGTATATAAAATTTATGTCTTAATAATCATAATTTCCGATGAATATTTAGCGAATATCACTTTAAATTTGTTCTAATGTTTATTTTAGATCATACGTACACATATCCGATTTTAGAACACGTTAGAACCAATTTTCATACATAAGCATCAGCAAATAAAAGCTAAGTAACATTTTTCTGATGTTTGTGTTCAAATTTATTTGTTTAAAACAGTTTCGTGTTATCAAAAAATCTATTTTTATTTTATTAAACGAAACAATAGAAACCAAATCTAAACATTGAGTTATCAGTAGGTAATGTTCGAATTTCGATCATTCGACGAATACCTACTAGTCATTTTTAAATAATTCATTTAATTCATTATTCATTCTCTTAGACCCAATAAATACCATATTTAATAGCTTCGCTACGATAAGTCAACGCACTAATAATGTTACTACGCAATCAAATATAAATAAAAATAAAATAAATTACGCAACAAGCACGAAACAGTCTACGGAAATGTTAATGAAATAATTCATAAATTAAACATTATCATTTGATGACAACCTTCATGTGGCTCTTTGTGATGGAGTTTTATAATTTATAAGATCACTAGCGGCCCGTTCCGGCTTTTTGTAAATAATAATGTGTTCTACAAAGCCATAGTAGATTATTTTATTCTATCATCAATAGTTTTCGCAGCGCACGCGATGTAAAGAATATTTTAGTTAAATTTTTTACACCTTTGGTTACATTATTGGAGTTTTAGTAAGCATCCCTAATTAAAAAAAAAAGAATATAGCCTATGTCACTCGGGGATAGTGTAGCTTCCAAACAGTCAAAGAATTTTTCAAATCGGTTCAGTAGTTTTGGAGCCTATTCAATACAAACAAACAAACAAATCTTTCCTCTTTATAATATTAATAATAATAATAATAACGTTCCGGTAGCATCGATACTAAGTAGTGGAAAATTAATAAAGTTTCTTTTTGGAAATTATGTCTAACTATCAACGCTTGAAAAACTAGCAACAGTGGATTTGAAAAAAGTAAAATTAAGCAATGATTTATTCTAATAAACAGTAATTACTGTTGTGTTGGAGATAACCCGAAGTTTGCTAGTTCATTGACCTTACTGGCAAATCTAGATCACGACGAAGTCAATGTTTCAATAATAAAAAACGTATATAATTTAACAAATATTCAGGATTTTAAATATGACGCATGGATGCAATAATGCATGGTTCATAACTCATTCAACCTAACGTATTATTATTATTATTAGAATTTAACTCAAATATTTGATTCCATAATCAGTGACGAGTCAAATATTTGTCACTACCGGAAATTAATATATTTTTTTCTCCATTTTAATTACCGCGTAAAGAACGCGTTTATCTAATAAATCTTTAAAGATGTTGGTTTTTCTATTAATTGGAATTATCAGTAATAATACGCAAGTCACATATTTATATTATATGGTAACATAGTTATAATTTTAAATTTAATGAGTAACTGATAAAGTCATGTTTATGGAGAACACATTTTTAAGTAACATAGTTATCATCGCTTAGTGACGCAAAAGGAAGATTTTTCATAGAGCATTTGTTTATTCCTAGTTTCATCATTCCGAATGTTGTTATTCGGGAGTTTTTTATTGCTTTAGTAGATAAGTGATCATATAGCCCAGGCTACCTAGTACTGAGATATTAGTGTTGCTCATGGACATCAATGCCCACTGAGTCTCTCGCCGAATCTACTAAGTGGGTCGTGATTCCGATCCGGTGGTAAATTCAGCGAAGCACTGCTTTTTCTAGGGCTAGTATTAGCAGTCTCCTGACTGAGCCCCGTGAACTCACCTAGAAGTTCGGTAAAGCTAGTTTAGCCCTTCGACATTACTAGTAGTGGGTAAGAAAATAATCATCGTCAGCAATGCGAATAATACAGCCAAGTAGCTACATATCGCTGAGTAAGTACTCTCCGCAAACCACCTTTGAAGAACGACTTGTTCATATTTCACGAAACTGTCTTTCGGTAACATTTCAGAGGCTTCGCTTGGTATTCATAAAGGCTTCATTTACGCCCTATAATTACAGGGGGCTATTATTGTATTTGTTTTACCCACTGCCTATTTCTATCGCGAAGCAGTCGCGTATAAAATACAATTGAGACTTAAATATGGTGGCACAACGTAGTTCGGTTAATTGCTTAGCATCAGTTGGGCCATGAACACATTCATACGTGCATTAAAAACGGCCCATCATTTAAATATTCACTTGAACATTACAATAACATTATTAACATCAAGCTGGACATAAGTGGGGCAAATTTAAATGGCTAATCATGTCTAAACAAAACTGTTATCGAAATTACACTAAGTTTAGACACATAATGAGCCCGTTAAAAATTCAATCCTGAATCCTCTTCCTATACAAGATTAATTACATTAGTCGACAATTTTTGACGATATTACAAAACCAGTTATTATTAGTAGAATCCTTATTGTTTAAAAGGCGGAAGTCATCCGGCATTAATGTTTTAAATTAGGTTTGACGACATTGACATCGTGAAGATGACGTGATTTCCGTGACTGCTGTCAAAACAGATGTAGAGGTCGCCTATATGATAAGTAGGTACTAGATGACCCGATGAACTTCGTGTTACTTACAAATATTTAGTATAAAATGTGGTCAACAGTAATTAAATTAGAAAAGTTTTTCTGTACCCCCCGGGAGCATCGAGGAAGTAAATTCATGATAGATACTGACAAATTATGATAGTTTTTTCTTTTTTTAAATCTTTATTTAGAAATTTATTATGTTTATTTTCTTTTTTCGACAACCAACTATGTAATACTTTTACGCTTTTATTCTTCTTCTAGTTTTATACTTCTGAAAAAGCACCTACTATTTTGAAAAAAAAAAAAGTGTTTTCAAAACCTTCCAAAGCTATCGAAACTCATAATACGGGTATGAAAAAAACAAATCTGAACGTATTACCTATAAATATTTGACAACCACGTCACAAAAGATTTAAAAATTTTCACAGCTAGAAACTCCGACATTTAAATTATATACGTGTAGATAGTGGTGTAGATGCTGAGTTTGACTGGATTGACAGAATAATGTGTAGGTAATGATTGAGTGAGCAATCGATGTGACATGTTTTTTGTTTGTTAATTGATTTGTTCTATATATTTTTTATTGCTTATATGAGTGGAAGAGCTCACAGCCCACTTGGTGTTAAGTGGTTACGGGAGCCCATAGACATCGACAGCGTAAATGCCGCCACCTACCTTAAGATATGTGTTCTAAGGTCTTAGTAGTTACAACGGCTACCCCACCCTTCAAACCGAAACACATTACTGCTTCACGGCAGAAATAGGCAGTGTTGGTACCTACCCATGCGGACTCACAAGAGGTCCTACCACCAGTAATAACGCAAATTATAATTTTGCGGGTTTGGTTTTTATTACACGATGTTATTCCTTCACCATGGAAGTCAATCGTGAACATTTGTTGAGTACGTATTTCATTAGAAAAATTGGTACCCACCGGCGGGATTCGAACATAAATGCATCGCTAGATACGAATGCACCGGACGTCTTATCCTTTAGGCCACGACAACTTCGGTCTTTCTGCTACGAAGAAATTATTTGACATTCCGATAGAGGCACCCGTCACGTGCGGACGTGCTCATCGACCACTCGTTCGCCCGGTCTTTGTTCGCCCGGCTTTTGTTAGCCCGGCCATTGTTCGCGCGGCCTGTGATCGTGATACATCTGCCGACCAAGTGTTTTTCCTGGAAGCTTTTATTTGTTTCGTTTTAGTTATTTTTGTGTTCGTGGTACATTTGCCGACAAAGTGNATAAAAAAAAAAAAAAAAAAAAAAAAAAGAAATTATTTGTTGCGCTTTGGAGACCTGGATGGGCGTTGTTTCAATGTGAGATTATAATCTAATATTACGATGTAGGCGGCGGTCACTTTGTGATCTCTCTGGCTGGGCCTGGCCCAGTTAGTTAGTTATAAGTTATATATCTACAGACGATGGTATATTATAGGATATCTGACATCGAGTTCAGTAACTTGATTACCTGTTCAGAAGATACGCTCCAGTCGGACTATACGCCCAAGCAAATCTAATTGAATCTCTTCAATCCGTCCGGTCGGCCTCGGTACGAGCGCACATATCAAAGTACCCGCATACGAGACGATGTCTTATTCCGCAAGAAGAAATTTAAGGTATTAACTATCCATTTATAGCTTTATTGGAATAGGTGAAATGAAAAAGAATACAAGCGGTCAACGCTATTTTCATGATACACCACGCGTATGTCGCCCCATCAAGGATACTTTTCCAATAATAAGATAACGCGAGTTTAATTTTGTAAAATTATAAATTAATTTTTAGGAATGCATTTTTTGGTAGGATAGTTTCTCGTTCATTGATCAAAGGTTGTTTGTTTGAAGCTGTTAATTTCTTAACATTAACGACAATTTTAATGAATTGAATTGATTTTTATGACAAGAATTATATTTATATATTATGTATATTATATATGTCGATATGTCTATGTTCCCTATAGACTCCGAAACGGCTGAAACAATTTTGATGAACTTTCCAGGAAATCTTTAGATTGGCGTACCGTGTGATCCTGTGAAGTTTGGTAGCAAACGGATGAAAGCAAAAGATTTGCGAGGAGAATGGGCTAGAGTTCAGTTCAGTTATAGAGTAGCGTAAAATGTTATAAGGGATGAGTGAATACTTTATTAAGCAGAAACAACATTAATCTGTCGATGGAATAGTAGTATGATTTTTATTTATATATAAATTAGTATAATGCTCTATCAAAAACGAAGGTTTCTGAAATGGTATTGTTAAGATTGCCGCAACTGTTGTGTGGTATAACTCATATCTCTACTGGTGGAAGCATTTGGTTACTCGTTAGTTCCTTTAACCACTTGGCATTAGAAAAGCCAGTTCCTCGTCAGAACATCTATTTTTTCCCTATTTGCTGATAGTTTAAGGGGCTACTCCAACTACGCTGGGATGGATCGGTGAGCACTAGGCTGTCTGAGAGACTGCTAAAAATAGTCCTAGCAAGAGCAGTGTTTCGCTAAATATACTACCGGATCAGAATCACAACCCACTGAGAAGATATAGCGAGAAATTTAGTCGGTCCAATGGCCCATCGACAGCAATAATAATAGTAAATCTTTTCTTTTAAGGCATCGTGATTCAAAGCATGTTAGAACAATTTAAACTGCCCATGATCCTTTTTTCAGAATAATAAAATCATACTTATAAATACGATTATAAAAGCCAATCAGACTCAAGTTTGATAAATCTGCTAAAAATAGTCTCGTCATGAATTCCATTCAGATGCCACTGATAATTCCTACCCTGGCTGCATGTTACACATACTTTTATTTATTTTTATTGCTTAGATGGGTGGACGAGCTCACAGCCCACCTGGTGTTAAGTGGTTACTGGAGCCCATAGACATCTACAACGTAAATGCGCCACCCACCTTGAGATATAAGTTCTAAAGTCTCAAGTATAGTTACAACGGCTGCCCCACCCTTCAAACCGAAACGCATTGCTGCTTCGCGGCAAAAATAGGCAGGGTGACGGTACCTACCCGCGCGGACTCATAAGAGGTCCTACTACCAGTAATTACGCATTATATATCCGGCACTCATAATACTGCATTATGAGTGCCGGATATACAATATGTTAGTTACAACAACTACACAAAAATGTCGTCGAATCGGACTCGAATCTGTGGATTAAGTAAGTACACCGGGTCACTAACCGCTTAACCAAAGAAAAGTACATTAAAAATAAACTAGAGGTCCCGCGGTAGTCGAAATTCGACTATAATTAATTGGAATTGTAAGTTTGTACACTATTATGATTGTATTTTATACTTCTATAATCACAAATTTCACCAAGGCTACACTATAAAAAAATATTAATAAAGACAAACAATATTTAATCTATTCTCAATTTGACCACAGACGTAAAGAATAAAAGTTTGACAGTAAATAGTAGGTATGTATGCGTGTGTGCGTCAAATACATGGGATGTAGTGTGTGTAATGTTTTCTTTATTGATTTAATGTATCTTTTATGCATTATTTAAAAAAAACATTAGCATTGTGCACTTCTTCTCTATAAGTGTGGAAAATTTCATACACCTCCGTCCGCGCAATTTTCGTAAAAATGGATACAAAGTTTTTGCTTCACGTATTAATATATAGATAAAAAACAACATCAGATTTTATGAACAATTTTTATTTACATTTAAATACAACGATTGGCGTCAACTTATCACCACCATTTTTAATAAAAACATTCATTATTTACATTTTTTTTAAAAACATCACTTTTTTTACGTGACCTTACGTTACAAATAACATTACCGCTTATATACATAAATACATATTATTTTAAACAAATAGCACTGATTAGGAAACTAAAATTTAAATTTAAATAGTTTCGTTTTATCTGGAATCAATTTTTCTGGTTTATCTTCGCTGCCATTTATAAGCAACGTGATATATCTACCTTGTTGATCGGACGACAGAGATATACCTAAACTTTGACAATTACGAACGATTTCGGTACAACCGCGCACGTCTCGATTTTTCACTGAAACAAAACAAAATAATTATCCTTAAAAAAAAACATTCGACCTTTTATAACTTCGAGAAAAATGATAACGGCTAGGGCGACGTTCAAAGATTTTAGTGATCTGTCTTAGCTCAGTTGAGTGTACTGCGATCTGAGATGTTACTGTAGCAATTATTGGCTTCGAACATACAGCTTGCCCTTTTGATAACTATTTTAATAATATGCTGTATTTTCATTTAATTCATTGAATAACATAAAAATGTGATGATATGAGGGGCGAAGGTTAAGTTATCAATAATGCAAAAACAGTTTTTATCTTCAAAAACAAAACGAATTCTATATTTAAAGATTTCATTCTCTAAAATGGTGGTGTTGTAAACTTAAACTGGTTTAATTAATTTCCTACATCAGTGGATTCTCCACGATCACTACGAATTACTAGCGTTAAGTTATTACAGTCATTTCGCTTTGAAGAATGTGACATGCGTCAATAATACGTTTTTGAGGCCTCGGAGCATTGGTTTTTATTTATTTATTGCTCTTGTAGGCAGACGAGCATGCAGCCCGCCTGATGGTGAGTGGTTACCGTCGCCCATGGACGTCAGCAATGCCAGGGGCTTAGCCATGCCGCTACCTACCACTTAATACTCTCCAGAAGCCTCGTTTGAAGAAGGGCATGTCATAGCGTTCGGGAAACACCGTGGAGGGGAGCTCATTCCAAAGCCGGATGGTACGTGGTAAAAAAGACCTTTGGAAACGCACTGTGGATGACCGCAGTGCCTCCAGGTAGTATGGATGAACTCTACTCCGGTGTCGGGCGGTGCGATAGTAAAAAACGAGATGATAACGGTTGCCAGGATACGCAAAATATACCATGTTTAAACGTCCAACGCAATAAATTACTTTTTAGGGTATTGCGTTTTATCTTAAATTATTGTTATATCGTTTATATATTTCATTGTACGAGTATTTCTGTTGTATCATTATACTGTTGTATATTGTCTTAAATTACTATTATTTTATTTATTTAGCTCATAAGATAGCATCATTGCATGTCGTGTGAGAAAATCATAAGTTCAAGACCGAACGAACACAATCTAAATTACTTTCACAAATACTCACGCGGTAAAGAATACTTTCTTCGAATATTCACAAGACACGTGTATTCATAAAATTCTAAATTTGCTTTATGTACAGTATAGCAACACAACGCTAATTTTATGAATTCGTAATAATAAAGAGGTGAGCTTATGAGGTCACAAACTAAGCAAATTAAGTATTCGTTATCTATTATTATGCTTAATAAACTTTTTTTTTTTTATTGCCATTGTAAGCAGACGAGCATACGCCCACCTGATGGTCACCGTCGCTCATGGACGTCAGCAATACCAGGGGCAGAGCCAAGCCGCTGCCTACAGTTAAGTAATCTCCGCAAGCCTCGTTTGAAGAAGTTTGAAGAATGAAACTCAGTTCACTGTATTATTACTTTGTACTATTTCAATATTGATTAAGATACTTATAGTATATGTTCCGTTGAGCCTAATGGAAAAGAACAGTACGTTCGTATCGATGGTAAAAATCGTGAAGGCAAATAGCATTTTTTTTAAATACGATTTCCATGAGTCTTGTTGCTCTCTTAGAGCTCTTGTTCGTGCTGCGATAGACGACTGGCCGCGCAAATTGAAGGCCTGTATTCAAAATCACGGAGGTCATTTTGAATAAACTTTAGTGTTATAAGAATCTATGTTTTGTTAAGTTCATTTTGGTATATGAATGGTTACATAATGAATAAACTTGTTTCAATTATTTTACATTAAACATGTGACAGAATTTATGACCTGACTAGGTATATTGGTATTACCGATAATTTTACAACAGTAACCCGAGTAAATTTGACGAAGCCCTAAAATCTCATATTGGAAACATTTTTAGGGGTGTGAAATTTAAGAGAATTTGTTATAAAGAACTTTTTGTCCATGATCGTGCGATGCGTTCCTTGTATTTCGGTACTCTCCCGTATCAATGCCATATATATTGCCATAGTATAATAGCACGGGGACGCGCAACATACTTGCCACCAGTTTCTCTTGGAAAACTCGATGTTTGAAAATTCCTTCCGGTGGATCTGTATTTGGGGCGAATTGAAAATATTGGAATTCAACCCATCGAAGATGCACATATGCGTGTTGGGCGCATTGAAGACGGATCCAGTCGTAATGACTTCATACAGAATAGCGCTGTTCGGATTGTCGAATTTCAACGAAGATACTTCGGAACTGTTGTATAGTGTACAGTATATTTCTTAGGAAACGCTCTGAGTAATGGTTGAATAATGAGTTAATTCCGTCATTTTCTTCTAAGCTTAGTTAAGCTACCAATCGGAACCACTTCGGTCATCCAGTGTAGTTTCGGGTATATTTTTTGTCACATACCATACGGCTCCGGAATGAGGACACCTCACGATGTCCCTAGAGTTCAAACGAAGTATGTAAGGATCCTCGTTGGCTGTGCCGTGGCTTTAAGCATTTTGACCATTAAGTGGGATGATTTGCTCGTCTATTTAAGAAAACAGCAAAAATGATTACTTAAGGTGGATGACATCAGTTACGCTGTGATATCTAAGGACTCCGGTAACCAAGTGAGTCGCATACTGGTCTTCCATTATGCATCGATCATTCAAAAAGAATACTTTTAAAATACTACAGGACTTCATATTAAGTTTTAAAACTATAACTAGCGGCTTTGGCTCCAGTTCTCGAAATTATCGCAGCGCGAGAACTAGGAACTCACAATTCGTAACGGGCACATTTCGATAAGCGCCAACTGTCATAAGTCATTGGTTAGATAAACGTTGTCCGACTTGTGTGCGTATGATCGACACGAATTAAACAAATACGGAGTGTAAGAAGATACGCTCGAAGCCGAGAGGGCAATCAACCACTGAGCTATAGCTACTCGACCAAACATAAATATTTGTTGTTTTAATTTATTGTATTGTACGTTTTAGGTTCATATTTCGGAAGCCCGCAATCTAACGCAACGGCAGTTAGACGCACGACGCATCCATTTGAAGCCGAGGATCGAGTGTGTCTGCTATAATCCAATTATTGGTTAGTACCCCAAGCACCGGTCATCGTTCTCGTCGAACCCATCGTTTGCGACGAAGGGCTCGGCGAGTAAATTAGCTCAGACACAGGCTACTGAGTTTTTAGCCGGATATTCTCAGTGGGCTACTTTTCCAATCCGGTAGATTCTGCGAAGCACTACTCTTGCTAGGGTTAGTGTTAGCAATGTCGTCAAGTTTGAGCCCCGTAAGCTCACCTATTTATATTAAAGTTACGATGACATAGCCTCTCAAGGCTATCAGCTCAGGCAGGGAAAAAAGTACTACTTCGACTTCAAGTCTTAGAATAGTTCTGTGCTGCATATGGACCCATCCAACCAGTTAGAGGTGATCCGTGGGCTTTTATTACGCGTCCAGTAGACTAAAACGGCTCGCTTGTAGAAATTTATAAATATATACAAAGCCGCGATATCCGATGAAATTTACTTATGTATATTTAAAAACACAGGTCTGTGGTTTGTTATTTGCTCTCTGTATTAGCGGGAAACTGTCACTCAGAATATATAACTAGTCAGGTCATAAGTATTGTCACACAGTAAAAACTTTTCTTTTAGAATGCTGGCCGCAAAAAAGTTTATTGAATTCGAATTTCGAATTGTTCATGAAAATAAAAATGTATACGTTTAGAATTTTACTCATTTTTAAATATGGAGTGGACGCTTAAAGAAGACCGTGTTGCAGTTATTGCGTTGCATCGTTGCGGGTACGCGCCAATTCAAATTTTTAACTTACTGAAAAATTTGAATATAACCAAAAGATTCGTATATCGTACCATCAAACGATACAATGAAGACTCTAGTGTAGATGACAGGTCAAGAAGTGGTCGCCCTCGGTCTGTTAGGACTCCAGCAGTGATAAAAGCTGTGAAGGCGCGAATTCAAAGAAATCCCAAACGTAAGCAGAAACTGTTGGCCCTTCAGATGGGGTTAAGCAGAACCACGGTGAAAAGGGTGTTAAATGAAGACTTAGGGCTTCGGGCATATCGAAGAAAAACAGGACATCGTTTGAATGCTCGTCTAATGGACCTGAGACTGAAGAGATGCCGCGCTTTGTTGAAGCGGTACGCGGGAAAAAAATATCGGGAAATTCTTTTTTCGGATGAAAAAATTTTTACCGTAGAAGAGAGCTACAACAAACAAAATGATAAGGTGTACGCACACAGTAGTGAAGAAGCGAGCAACCGTATTCCGCGTGTCCAACGAGGTCATTTTCCATCCTCGCTCATGGTATGGTTGGGAGTTTCTTATTGGGGCTTAACAGAGGTACATTTTTGTGAGAAAGGTGTAAAAACGAATGCAGTTGTGTATCAAAATACAGTCCTGACGAACCTTGTGGAACCTGTTTCTCATACCATGTTCAATAACAGGCACTGGGTATTCCAACAAGATTCGGCGCCAGCTCATAGAGCGAAGAGCACACAAGACTGGCTGGCGGCGCGTGAAATCGACTTCATCCGGCACGAAGACTGGCCCTCCTCCAGTCCAGATTTGAATCCGTTAGATTACAAGATATGGCAACACTTGGAGGAAAAGGCGTGCTCAAAGCCTCATCCCAATTTGGAGTCACTCAAGACATCCTTGATTAAGGCAGCCGCCGATATTGACATGGACCTCGTTCGTGCTGCGATAGACGACTGGCCGCGCAGATTGAAGGCCTGTATTCAAAATCACGGAGGTAATTTTGAATAAACTTTAGTGTCATAAGAATCTATGTTTTGTTAAGTTCATTTTGGTATATGAATGGTTACATAATGAATAAACTTGTTTAAATTATTTTACATTAAACATGTGACAGAATTTATGACCTGACTAGGTATATATATATATATATAATATATAAGTCAAACAGACTATTTCATAAAGAAGTACTTATAATGTTTTAGGTGCATGTGTACAATATTAAAATATTAACAAAAAGGAGAAGACGACGCTAGGCACTAGACGATAGTAATACTAATTTTATTCAAATTACGATTTTATGTGATACTTAAATCGGCGTGCGAATCTTGTTGACTAACGTCAGGTGACACCTGCGCGTTCGGGAATTCCGATAGCGCCCGATGACGCCCCAGTGCGACTCGAAATGCCAGTGTTGCAAGCTACATACAAAGTAGTATACAACAAACATAACAAGTAGCTCCGTACAAATTAATTGTGTTTAATTAGATATTGAAATATTTAACTCGCAATAAAGTGTTGAAAGTTGATAACACTCGTGTAAAAGTTATCATAACCAAGTATGCCAAGTTGGCAGATTATGTTAGAGCAAATAACTAGGTAGTTGTAACAACTTATGTACCATATTCTTGCGATATAAAGCTATTTTTTTTTCCCAAAAATCTAAATCTATTTAGATAAAAGTTGGCAATAAAGTAATTTCATTATGAAATATGGTGGATGCTGAGAAAGGGGCGGCCGATGGCTTGGGGCCTAGGGCGGCAGAGACTGCAAATCCGCTACTGCTTCGAAGCATGTCTTTTATGGAATATACATACAAACTAAAAAAATCTTATATAATTTGTTTGTAGCGTTTTAATATGTTTTAACGTGTTCTTTCTGTTGCTAGCTCTTGGGTAAGGCGCATAATTTAAGATTCCGTTGTTGGTAACACAATAATTTATTCGATATCGACTCTAAAAAGGAAAATAAAGATTCGCAGGCTTTAGCCATCTCGTTTGGTATCATAATACTCGTAAAAACGAATACAAAATTTATTTCAGTACCTGGGTCGATGGTACGGTGCATATATTATGTTAATAAGAGTAAAAAACCCGTGTTTGGTTGTTCCTTTCTTAGTTATATCAATTTTGTTTATTTTCCGATTGATTTTATTTTAGATTGATTGTGTTGTGGAGTAGGATCGATAGCCGGTAAATCGCTCTGACATTTCAAATAAATTTCTTTGACTAATCTTTCGAGGGAAAAAAGACACGATACGTAATGATACAATAAGTTCGCATAAATCTAGTATGAATGTAGTAGTAGAAATGAGCCCCCCATTTTCTATCCTCGCTTATTCTCTTCTTTTCTATCGCACCATCGGAACACAGTTCATTCCTACAGTTTTGAGCCACTGACGACGACTTGTAGTGACTTTTCACTCCGGAATGAACTTCCTATTATGGTGTTTCCTAAGCCCTACGACAGGTTCGTCTTCAAACTTCGGTTTGAGAGTTCGAACGGTAAACCGCAGCTCGGCTTTACTCCATTGGTTTATTGATGTCCACGAAAAACGATACCCACACACCCAATCTGATAGTCAGTACCCTTGTCTGCCGTACATTTTTTTATTTTATTTTTTATTGCTTAGATGGATGGACGAGCTCACAGCCCACCTGGTGTTAAGTGGTTACTGGAACCCATAGACATCTACAACGTAAATGCGCCACACACCTTGAGATATAGTTCTAAGGTCTCAGTATAGTCACAACGGCTGTCCCACCCTTCAAACCGAAACGCATTACTGCTTCACGGCAGAAATAGGCGGGGCGGTGGTACCTACCCGTGCGGACTCACAAGAGGTCCTACCACCAGTAAAAACCACATTACTATAATATATTGATATACATTTCATACTTGTGAAAAAGTATCTGCATTGGACGTGAATCGCTTCGCTGTTGAAAAAAACACGAAATTTGGTTGCTGTAACATTAAAGCCAAATTACATTATGTTTGTTGTAATCTAGATACGATTACTTTAGCGACAAAGTAAAAGGCGATTTTTGTATTCAATATGGTATATTCCTGACATATTCCTCAACGCAAACCACTTAATTCTATAACATCAATGTTATAGACTTTTACAGAGCTGGACCAGAGCATTTGATACAAGAAGTCAAAATTCGAGCACGGAAACAGTAAGAGTAAAATAAAGGTAAACAATTTAAATAAATCCTTACATAATCGCATCGTACCTTGTTAAGTGTTTTCTAATTAACATCCAACACTTATTTCGTTAAATGGAGGTCTTTACATAGATTAACTTTTATATTTGTTTTGCTTATATATTGCTTGTAACCTCGAGGGGTTACGCTACCTTCGCCTAATGTGTGGTTGTTTCACGAGGCCCGGAGAGGGGTCGCCTCAGGGTGCCCACCTCGTGTTCGGAGGCGTCCGCGTCGAGATCGATCCGACTGGTTTGCGGTACCTCGGTCTCGTACTGGACGGCCGTTGAAGTTTTCGTGCTCACCGTTGCCGAACATTGGTGGGCCCGACGCGGTAGTGCGCCGCCTATACACGGGGGTTGGGCGGTTGATGTCGCTGTACGGGGGTCCTGTGTGGTACCAAGTCTTGACCCGCGACAACGCCTTATCGTTGCGACGTCTGCAGCGCGCCATTGCGGGCAGGACGGTTCGCGGATACCGCACTGTCTCGTTCGAGGCAGTGTGTATGCTCGAAGGGACCTGGACTCGCTGCGGACTACGCGTGACGATGCAATCTCCGCTCCAGGGGGAGCCGCGTCCCAGCACGGCCGAAGTGCGAGCGAGGAAGCTTTAATTTCGGCATGCCGTTACCGAGGCGTGGTCTCGCGGCCTGGCGGACCCGTCTACGAGCGACGGATAGTCGAGGATATCCGCCCGGTCTCTTGGGTTAGGTGAATCGCGACTGAGGACGTCTCACCTTCCGAGCGACGCCCATGCTCACGGGACACGGCTGTTTCGGCCGCTACCTGCACCTCGTCGCCCGGAGGGAGCTGACGCCAAAGTGCCACCACAGCAGCGGCAGCGGAGCACATGCTCGCGTACTGCCACGCTCTCGCGGAGCAGCGCCGCGTTGTCGTTGCAAAAATAGGACCGGTCTTGTCACTTCCGAATGTCGTGGCCGCGATGCTCGGCAGTGACGAGTCCTGGCAGGAGATGCTCGACTTCTGCGAGTTCACCATCTCGCTAAAGGTGGCGGCGGAAAGGGAGAGCTCTTTTTTCTTTTAGGCGCCGTGCTGCAGCCGCTGGGCTGGGGGTCGAAGGAGAGCGTTCGTCCAGCTCCAGCTCCTGTGAATAGGCAGTCTCCTCCCGGTTATAGTCACGGGGCGACCTGAGGTAGTTGAGACTGCACCGCACGCTACCGCCACTCTAGCGCGCTGGCACCAAAGGATAGGACGATGCGTCGGCGGCTGCGGCATGCGATGCGGTCCGCGTTATCTTCGCCGAACATACTGTGGAAGAGCAACCCGGTAGGCGGTATATCGCGTTCCGACCCGGCAGGCTCGGACTTGAAGTCGTCGTGGCCTAAAGGATAACACATCCGGTGCGTACTCTTAGCGGGTTCTGACCCCGGATGTCTGGTGTAAGAGGGCAGGGGTGTCGTTTAGTGCGGTAGGGCCCTAAAAACATCATTGGGCCCGCGGTCTGCTCCCAACACCTGCAGATCGTCAAGTCCCACATACGGGCCCCCTAGGTGCGGGGACATGGTAGGAGGATTGACCAGAGGCTCGAAAAAAAAAAACTCTTAATATGTAGACAAACGGGGCTGAGCCTTATGTGAAGGTTATGTTAAATGTGCTCTAGCTAACTAGGGAACTGATCGGTTATCTATCTGAGACCCTGATAGGGATTTGCGAGGGATTTCTGAGGAAGAGTTGCTTGAGGTAAAAGTTAGTGTCTAGCGAGATACCTCATCGAAGTATATTCGTTTCGCAAGAAAATACTGAGTTGTGTCAATAAACGACTGACCTGTTTATATATTATGCTACGAAAATATTGGAAACTCAATTCACCTGAGGACCCCATGTAGAAATTACTTAGTGTATTTAAGAAGTACCTTAAATATTTCTTAAAACTCTGTTCAAAAGCATTTAATTTAATTCAGAATGTGAAATTATATAGAAGATATGGTTTATTAAAAAGAAAAGCTATTTTAACAGTAAATTCACTTATTTGCCAGGTGCATCACAATGGTCAGCAATGCGCGATAGATTGGAGGAGGGTGCACTTATTTGGGGTATGACCTCCTCACAGAGTAAAAAACACTCTTGAAATAGTTATTATTGATGGTAATACTTACTTATATTATACTTACATTTATAATTAAAAAGCACTTGTAATACTTTCGAATACTCTTCCATCATTTTATGTTTCAATAGATTTTGTAGGAGTCTCAGAACGGCATCTTCATTGTAGTCGTTATTCAATACAGTAATGCTGAACGCCATGGCCCTGGAAATATACAACAAAGTCTTCAGACAACAAGGCTTATGAATGAAAGATTGATTATTGTTAGCTTGGGAAACTTAAGTCAAGCTGTGCTGTAATTAAATGTAGCATCGATTTGTAAAAACTACTCATGGCATTGTACTTTAGTGGTACTATGACAAAAACCTTCCCTGCCGTGCCAAACAAAAATCCTCCAAAATTTCAACTCAATTAAATATTTGATGATTTATTTACAAAATATTATATTCATTTATGTGAAATAAAATAAAAACATTACTTATTTAGTTTTTAGAACCTTTTCAAGCTAAGTGGCTTAGAAGGGTAAAAGAAAAGGTAGGTAGGAGAGCATATTATTCTTAATTGGCAAAACTCTTCTTTGACTTGTTTTCTCAGGATGCACATGGCACACCACTGTAAATCATTATTTTCCTAACTCTTATTATCATCTCATTACACAGTCATTAAAACAGTATTCATTTCTATGACCTAATGATGGCTCATCAAGTGACCAACAGACCAGTACCAACTGACTTTGAAATAAACTCCACTCTATGCTGTTTTCAGAGTGCTTTTATAACATAGTGCATCGAAATGTTTTTTTTATGTCTATGAGTGACATTGGCCCTTATTAAAGCAATTAACTATACTGAGACCTTACAACTTATATCTCAAGGTGGGTGGCACATTTACGTTGTAGATGTCTATGGGCTCCAGTAACCACTTAACACCAGGTGGGCTGTGAGCTCGTCCAACCATCTAATCAATAAAAAAATAAATAAAAAAAATTAGTTCTCAATTTCTTTATTGCAGTTATTGCATATCTTTCAGATAATTGCCATCTATGTTCCAAGAGAACACAATCTACTGGTAGTAGGTCATTGTCCCATTATACTATAGTATGCCTTAGAGAAATCTTCACTCATAAGTTCAGCTTGGTAGGCAGCGGCTTCGCTCTGCCCCTGGGATTGCTGAAGTCTATGGGCGACAGTAACAACTCCCCATAAGGTGGGACGTATGCTTGTCTGCCTACATGGGCAGTAAAAAAAAAGGTCCAACTCATATGTGTGATCATACAAAATGGGATTTTTAATCTATATACAAAGACTTGATCTTTTATGATACTTAAAATCTCCTAATTTACTATTATGCACCAAATAATCATTAATTTCATGTTAGATGCCAATTGTGTTATTTTTGTATATAACTATAATTCCCTTGGTTAATAGAGGTTGAATTTCTTATTAAATGGTAATAATTGTTCTTTGACAAACTGAAATTGTCTCTATCGACCACAGCAAGCTGTAAATAGTGGTATTTCATACCTCAAAATACTGAGACACAAACGATTTAGATGCTACAGTTCAAAACTTAAATATAGGATGTTATTCTCTATATAAAGTACCTTCTTTGGTTTTCACGAGTGATTTGTCCCCGTGACATAATGAGTTATAACAAAATTAAAACTATTTTTACAGTTTATAGTGGGAGCCTGAATATTTTGGGATACTAACTATTTCCTTTTTATTTCTCTCATTGAACATTTAAATTAAAAGTAGAGTAGTAATTGTTCTATTATTATTGTGGCTTTAAGGTGCCAGTGTGTACTGATCCACTCTTAATTTCTGATGAGCAAAATAACTGATACATTTCTCCATTGTAGGTATCAATAGTTCAACCGTGCGATAACTATTTTTATTATTAAAAAAGCACCCATTAATGTAAATTATTATTTGTTATTGACAAAAAGTTATAAAATACACTTACTTGTCTCTGATAATATCCTGTAAAGCCTCAGATGTTTCAAGTAATTCATTTGAAAGCATCTGATCTGAAAACCAATTACTGGACCAACAAATATACCAAAAGCATATTAATGGATAATGATCGCTCCATTGTTCACTGAAGTCTAAGACATACTTTTTAAATACAATTAGTGAGGCCTCAGAACGGTTTAATACTGAATCTTGAATTAACTCTCTGAATATAAGCCGATAAAAACTTCTATGTCCTTCATACTTTCTGTAACAGTGAGTCAATATTGATAAACCGCGTTCGGAGTTTCCTTTGAAGCAATGAGCTTTAGCTAAGTAATGAAGAAATTCCACATTTCTTTGATAAAGATTAGGATCTACATTTGCACAATACTTCTGGAGTATTATTATCATTTCTGGCTTCCCATCCAAACTATAATGCTTAAACAACTTTTTCAAAGTTTCCTCATTCATGAACTGTCTTTTATTTTTCATGTCTTTTACAAGAGTTTCCAACTGTCTGTTTCTGTTTTTTGACATTAATTCTTTTATTAAATTATCTCGTTCTTCATCTGTCATGGGAGGATTGGTGGATTTAGGGCTATTTTCAACCGTATGATTTTGGATGTTTACCGTATTTTTCTCTTTGGTTCTTTGCTCGATTTGTGAAGATAATGAATCAACGACATCAACACTTGTGGTAAAGAGACATACAGGTGCGTTTTTTTGAAACTTCAGTACGTTGTGAATCGCTTTTAAATAATATAAGGGATGTTTTCGCAACGATATCCTCATAGAATTCATTTTTATTCGTTTGTTGTAATTACGGTTAAAAATCATAGGTAAATAAAATTTAAAAAGAATTATCAGTTACACGAATAGGGTCCATCATATTTATAATGAAATTAAACATAATCACGTTGAAATGCAGAATAATTTCGTAACATTGTAACTTTTTGTTTTTTTTAATAAATTTTACTGGCTTGGAAACAAAGCTAACAAAATTGTCAACAATATAGGTCATAGATTATACACTTAATATATTAGAGATAGATGCGCAACTCTCATTTTTATTTTTGCTTTAGTTAAAGCCCGGTCCAGCAGGCGTCGCTACGGTCGATTATTAGTCTCCCTACCCCCCACCAGGTGGCTTTTTTAGTAATTTTAATATTTTTAATAACTCTCTTTATGAAAAAATCTTATCGTTTAGAATCGCTGAAATTNGTCCTACCACCAGTAATTACGCAAATTATAATTTTGCGGGTTTCATTTTTATTACACGATGTTATTCCTTCACCGTGGAAGTCAATCGTGAACATTTGTTGAGTACGTATTTCATTAGAAAAATTGGTACCCGCCTGCGGGATTCGAACACCAGTGCATCGCTTCAACACGAATGCACCGGACGTCTTATCCGTTAGGCCACGATGACTACAAATTACTATTTTTGTAATAACTATAATTCACTTGGTTAATAGAGATTGAATTTCCTATTAAATGGTAATAATGGTTCTTTGACAAACTGAAATTGTCTATCGACCACAGCGAGCTCTAAATAACGGTATTTCGTACCTCAAAATACTGAGATACAAACGATTTAGATGCTACAATTCAAAACATAAATATAGGATGTTATTTTCTATACATAGTACTTTTTTTGGTTTTCACAAGTGATTTGTCGCTGTGACATAATGAGTGGGAGCCTGAATATTTTGGAGATACTGGTGATTTGTTTTTTTATATTTCCTTCTTATTACTCCTACTGAACATTTAAATTAAAAACTAGAGTAGAAAAATGTTCTATTATTATTGTGGCTTTGAGGTGCCAGTGTGTACTGATCCACTCTTAATTTCTGATGAGCAAAAGAACTCATACATTTCTTTATTGTAGGTATCAATAGTTCAACCGTGCGATAACTATTTTTATTATTAAAAAAACACCCATTAATGTAAATTATTATTTGTTATTGACAAAAAGTTATGAAATAGACTTACTTGTCTCTGATAATATCCTGTAAAGCCTCAGATGTTTCAAGTAATTCATTTGAAAGCATCTGATCTGAAAACCAATTACTGGACCAACAAATATACCAAAAGCATATTAATGGATAATGATCGCTCCATTGTTCACTGAAGTCTAAGACATACTTTTTAAATACAATTAGTGAGGCCTCAGAACGATTCAATACTGAATCTTGTATTAACTCTCTGAATATAAGTCGGTAAAAACTTCTATGTCCTTCATACTTTCTGTAACAGTGGGTCAATATTGATAAACCGCGTTCTGAGTTTCCTTTGAAGCAGTGAGCTTTGGCTAAATAATGAAGAAATTCCACATTTCTTTGATATAGATTAGGATCTACATTTGCACAATACTTCTGGAGTATTATTATCATCTCTGGTTTCCCATCTAAACTATAATGCTTGAACAACTTTTTTAGAGTTTCCTCATTCATGAACTGTCTTTTATTTTTCATGTCTTTTACAAGAGTTTCCAACTGTCTGTTTCTGTTTTTTGACATTAATTCTTTTATTAAATTATCTCGTTCTTCATCTGTCATGGGAGGATTGGTGGATTTAGAACCATTTTCAACCATATGATTTTGGATGTTTACCGTATTTTTCTCTTTGGTTCTTTGCACAATTTGTGAAGATAATGAATCAACGACATCGACACTTGTGGTAAAGTGACATACAGGTGCGTTTTTTTGAAACTTCAGTACGTTGTGAATCGCTTTTAAATAATTTATGGGATGTTTTCGCAACGGTATCCTCATAGAATTCATTTTTATTCGTTTGTTGTAATTACGGTTAAAAATCATAGGTAAATAAAATTTAAAAAGAATTATCAGTTACATGAAAGGGTCCATCATATTTATAATGAAATTAAACATAATCATGTTGAAATGCAGAATAATTTCGTAACATTGTAACTTTTTGTTTTTTTTAATAAATTTTACTGGCTTGGAAACAAAGGTAACATCGTAGGTAACAAAATTGTCAACAACATAGGTAATATAATTTTAAAGGATTTTATGATCTGGCAACTAAGACCTTTTAGTCATGTTTTATTTTGATTTATATGTATTCTTATTTATACGAAACATGTTAATATAGAGCGAAATGAAATGAAATGAGAGGAGTTGATATGGGTTGAAATATAATCTCAGTAAAATGGTGGTCATTTACTAAGTCTGTTTCAGTGGACTTTTTGGAGGATCCCGAAAAGCTAGGTACGTCCAGCGGCTTTATTTTATTTTCCCACAATTGTGCACGTTCACAGATTCTAAACAGTTAATAAACCACTGTTGTTACATATTTAAACCTGAAGAAACACTAAATAGACAAAATAATACAATTCACACAACTTCGTTCCTCGCGTTCCAAAAAGGAGACTTTTTGGAATGATATATACTATTCTAAACATTAAAAACGATAAAAGATAAATTTTACATACATAAAGCAGTAGCACATTAGAAGATAAAATTTTCCAATTGTACCTTCAAGAGTCAAGAGTTTAACTCCGTAACGTGTTGAAAAAACTGAAGCACACAACGCCATCTATATAACTGATTATAAACAGCTACGCTACATCTTTGTTTCTACTCAGCACTAGATGTCAACAGTACCATACAATAATATTGTTCTTTTGTGAAGTTAAACTATGTAACGAAATATTAATAAAACAAAATGTTTTAAATAATTTATCGGGTATTTTTTTATTGAGATGAGCTAGAGGGTCTCCCTATAAAAACATTATGTAGCATTCGTTGTTGAATAGAGATTGTGTATTTATGGTGTTTTCTTCGGTTTTCTTAAACCTATTATGTGTATTGTCTTATCGTTCTTGTAGATATATTTATATTTGACTTTAACCCTTCAATATTTAACTTCTTGTGAACGAGTAAGTATTGCAACGTTCCCGGGTTTTTTTTTTCAGGATCGTCTTGAAACTATAATAATTATTTCCGTCCGAGCTACAACGATGAAAAAGAGTAAGTCTCGTTTACCTACCAAAAAGTATTTTTAGAGCACATTAATAAAATACCTACATACTGAACTGAGAACCTTCACCTTGTATAAATTTAAAGAGTTTTAACAATTAGGATAATTTGCAAAAGTTGCTGAAAACTTAATTTTTTTTATTGCTTAGATGAGTGGACAATCTCACAGCCCACCTGGTGTTAAGTGGTTACTGGAGTCCATAGACATGTATAACGTAAAATGCGCCACCCACCTTGAGATAAGTTCTAAGGTCTCAAGTATAGTTACAACGGCTGCCCCACCCTTAAAACCACATGAGAGGCACCTACATCAAATGAAAAATCATAAATTCGGTTCATCTAAAAAAAGGTATGATAGTAGAATTGAAAACTCCCTCTTTTTTTGAAGTCGGTTTAAAAGCGCAGCTCTCCAAACAGTCTTATCCGATTCTTTAATAAGAACATTAACACTTAATAAAGGTGTTTTCGGTATTATAATTTCTTAATTCGAAATTATTGTGTTAACCGCCAGCGAAACCATTGATGTAATATTAAACGCTGTCATGGCTGAACTCGCGCGGGTACCGATGCGATGCGTCGCCGCGTCGGTTCGTACGTATTGCCGCCCCCTGCCGTGATCTTGGCATTAACGACTAATAGCTGCATGTTAATCGACAGACGATCATTGTCGGCGAGCGCTCTATAAGAAATTGAGAAAAAAAAAACATAAATACACACACACACACGCATACATCCACACAATATAATGATACGTGTGAAGATAAAATTCGTCATCCGTTCCACGTATTGAATATCGGATGTGAGACTATGTTATGTCACGCTCAAAAGTCACTAGGTAGTTTTTTTTTTGTTTTTTTTTTTTGCTAGAAACTATATCAAGGAAATGAAACTTATATATTTAATTGGGTTTATTGTTACAGTGATATACCATCGCGTCGTTCCATGCTATACGATTTAGTAAATCGAAAAAGGTTGATTTAAATGATAATTTGAATGATAATCATAAATTTAATAATTAAATATAATAACATAACAACCTGTTCGAATCTCTCTATTGTAATGCGAATGTCGAGTAGTTTCGTTAATTTGATTATGAAAATTTACTAAATTAATTAATTTTCTTATTGTTTGTACGAGTAATTGTCAAAAGTTAGGTTAAAATTAGAATAACCAGTTTTCACTTTTCTTCTCAAATTTAATTATCTCTGAAATACGCAAAGTAAATGATAGCGTTACATTTGCACTAATAAAAAGCGTTTTTTTGTATCACTGCCTGCAAAACAATCAACTATTTGAATGAAAAACCAAAAATTAATATCAATAATAAATATACTTAATCGATTATTTTTTTTGATTTTTTTATGAATTAGTATGGTTTGCTTCATGTAGAGATTAATAGGTTCTATTGTTAAGCATTAAATGTAAAAGAATGCACTTTTATTTTTAAACTAAAACCTAAAAGGATAAGTTTCATTAAAGTAGAAATCAAATTATGGAAGTCTAGTCAAACTAAGCCCGCTATGCTAGACGATCTTTGACTCAATCGCTACCAAACCCCACAGGTTCATCTACTAGGCTATTTTAAAAATTTAATCCAACTAAATCCAGCTTTTTCGAAGTCTTTAGTGAGTATACACTAAAACATCGAGTTTTATTTAATTTCAAAAAGTATATTATGTTAATTAGATAAAAAACAAAAAATGAAATTATCACATATTACACATGTATTGGTTTTTCTGTATTTTTATAATAATGTCAAACTGACATTACCTTTTTTTACTTTCAGGATACGACTGGGTATTATTCTATTTATTTAGTCTTATGCGCCCTATCGTCTTTCTCGATTTAGTCGATTAAGCTAAGTAAGTTCCCAAAAATAGCTTAGGCGTTCAGTTTTCGTACTCAATAAAAATCTAACATTATTAAATGAGGATAATTTTGTGGAATATTATGCTCATTCATCTTCGTCAACTGTTCCTCTACACAAG